TCTCTCTCTCTCTCTCTCTCTCTCTCTCTCTCTCTCTCTCTCTCTCTCTCTCTCTCTCTCTCTCTCTCTCTCTCTCTCTCTCTCTCTCTTGGGGCTTGCAACTTTGCACGATGGTAGGTTTCCGTGGACACGCCTCGCTATCGAGTACGTTTATATCACCTTTTGGTTTCGAAAGGGTGAAAAAAACACGAATGGGCAACCGAAAAATGGCTGTAGTTTCAAAAGGCAGAAATAACAGCAAAAGGCGGTAACATCAGGCCCCGAGTTTGAAACGGCAGAAATACCGCATTTTGCAGGTTTTTTTTTTTTTTTTTTTTCGGTCTGTCCCCTCCCGCTGCGCCACGCCGCAGCTGGAAAAAAAAAAAAAAAACCATGGTCGGGCCACGGCCATGGGGTGTGGCCGAGACATCTCGGCTGTGGCCAATCGTGGCCAATCTGGGGTTTGGCCGAGACATCTCGGCCGTGGCCAATCTGGGGTGTGGCCGAGACATCTCGGCCGTGGCCAATCTGGGGTGTGGCTGAGACATCTCGGCCATGGCCTACAAAATGCGGTATTTCTGCCTTTTCGGAACTCAGGGGCCTGGTGTTACCGCCTTTTGCTGTTATTTCTGCCTTTTCGAACTACGGCCATTTTTTCATTGCCCATTCATGTTTTTTTTGCCTTTACAGTTGGAAAGTGTGGTACTACCGCACTTGTTTCTTTGGATATTTATTTCCCACAGATGCTGGTAGGCGCAGGTAATTGCCCTGATGATGATGGCTGTGCCAGCGACACAGCAGAAACATGTCGGGAGGTATCGTTTTTGTGCTAATATCTGGATGATGTTATTTTAACGGAGCACAATTATTTGCGCTTTTGTGCTGTGTACCAGCGTTTTTCTTATTCTTATTCTCCAACCCCCTCTCTTCTTCTTCTTCTCCTCCTCTACAACTTTCAATGGTTGATGCTAATTGCACCAGTTTGCCAAGTCACTCATGAGCTCTGAGTCGGTCTACAACCTGCACAGGCTGTTTCTTCGACTCTTTTCTGCTCTGCTCTAAGTGAGGAGAACTGCTTTCTCAGTGAAGACGGGCTCCGCCTGACGGGTTTTTTTTTTTTTTTTTTTTTTTTTTTTTTTTTTTTTTTTTTTTTGTGTGTGTGTGTGTGTGTGTGTGTGTGTGTGTGTGTGTTTCTTTTTTTTTTTCCCCCCTCTTGAGATACCATCTTTGAACTGACCAGCCATAGGTAATTCAGAATGACTTTATTCTAGTCATCTGGTTCCAGAGGGTTTCAAACTCTAGTCTGTACTGGGTGTACAGACTGAGCCAGATCCATTGGTAGTGTCTGCTCTATAGTACGTGAATTCAACGCAACCTGATCATGATTGTGGACAATCTACATTCCTGACCGGAATAGAAAATCCCTGTCATTATAGCTGTATACGGACCGAATCGCTGTCTAGATACAGATATAATGACCGGGCGCTCCCGGAGTAGTAAGTGTGGGCGCTGGCTTCTGGAACCCACTTTTTTTTTTTTTTTTTTTTGGGTTAATATCATCATTTTATTTTTCATAATTGGAACTCACTGTTCTTGACAACACCTTGATGTCGCTGCAGGGAAAAAAAAAAATCTTTTTCTTTTTTGTTAAAACAAAATTTCACAGCACACTGATCCCTTCTTGTTTTCCTTCCTTTCTTGCCAGTTTTACAAGCGGTGGTACTTTGCAAGGAAAAAAAAAAAAAAAAGGCAGCCGTAATACCACTTTGCTGGATACATCCGAGCAAATGGTGGAACGGTCAAAAGAAAAGAAAAAGATGAAGGTCCTAGCACAGGCTAGCAGGATTTTTTTTTTTTTTCTGGAGAAGCAGGAGAATTTTCACATGAACTGCATAGGAATCGCCACTGTAGGTATCTTGGCGGTCCCCTTTTTCTTTCCTTTTTCAGAAAGTTGTTCTTTCTCTCTTTCTTTCTACTATTACAATGAGTGGGAGAAAAAGGTACCACAAAAGCCTAGCTCAGTTGGTACACCCATGAACTGTTGAAATGGAGACTCAAGTTTGAATCCGGATACAATCAGATCAGATTTCTTCAGAATAACTGGAGACTCAATGGGGCTGTCATGTCAATGATGTCATTGATATCAAAAGGCGGTGGCCACGCTGACGTGGTGACAATGATACACGCGGCCCAGTGGAAGTTCCAGTGGAAGTGATCGTAATTCCGTTCAGAATCTCTCCTCTTCTGTTCTCTTCTGTTCTCTTCTTCTCCTCTCTTCATCTTCTGACTCAGAGGAGGAGGCCCCTTGAGGAAGTCTAGTTCTGGTTTCCACTACCTATCCATGGGTCCCTGCCATCCCATCTCCGAATCTCACAGCCACAGTGTGACCACGTTGAACAGCGTTAGCGTTGACAAATCCTATTTTAGCTATTACAATCTCTATTACTATGTTTTCATTGGCAGGAATACCTCCATTAGCAGGATTTTGCAGCCAATTTTATCTTTCTTTTGCTGCTCTAGGTTGCGGAGCTTATTTATTAGCCTTAATAGGAGTAGTAACCAGCTTTATTAGTTGCTTTTATTATTATATACGTTTTGTGAAATACTCGAAAACAGAACTAAGCGTTGCCAAAAAGGGGCAAGGGCACAGGTGTCCGAGGCGAAGTCCCACTTATGCTGATTCTTCACTTCTGACGGACGATCTTTGTGATCTACCGTCAGATATTGAGAGTTCAGGTAAGCGGGACTTGGCCCCATGTCCGTCTGCTGGAGGAGAAGGGCTGTACGGGTGAAGTGTGGCTGCGCCCGATCTTCTGATGTAGTTGGTAAACTCCAGCTACATTATTTTCATTTTGAGTTAATCTCTAATCTAATCTCCTGCTTGCACATGGCTTGCAGGGCCCTGAGATAGATACCGGGCATGAATTGCCAGCGCCAAGTCCCACAAGAGGGGGTTTTAGAGTTGGTTTCGACTACTACATACTGGTTCATTCATGTCAGGGTTGCACTGCGGCCACGTTGAGAAATACTTGACAGGAAGACTAAGACCCTGAGGGTGGGACTTTGTCCTCTGGACCCATAAACCAGCATATGAAGAAAATCAAAAGGAAAGGAGCTTCAACGAGCTTTGAGTTCTCGCTGAGTTCACCCTTACCATCTCCTGTTTTCCTCTTTCTTTTTGTTTTTGTTGTTTAGAGTCTCTTCGACGATTTCTGTGCAACAGTTCGTGCGTGCCCTCCTTGGGGAACGACCGTCCTAACACATTGATATAGATTCCACTGCCCTGTTACAATCCCCGGCTGCTGTTGGACTCGCCACAGCGGCCACACCGCTCAGGCAAAGTGAACATTTTGGTGACAATTTGGTGAGCTGTCATAGAATTTCAAGAGCCCTCATTTTGAGGAATTCCCGCCATCTGCCGCACAGACTCTCCAACAGGTCTCTCTGGACAGTTGCCGGGGCCAGGTCCCACTTGCGCAAATTAGGAGATCTCGGCCGTTGATCTTTGCTATCTACGGTCAGTATCTCTAATTCGTGCAAGTGGGACCTAGCCCCGTGGGAACGGTCAGGGGATCCCAGTGGAATGGAGAAACTAGTGTGGGTGGCAACCACAGGCCAACTCCTGAAAGCAAGAGAGGTTTTCGGTGGACGGACCATGGGCTGCTAAATGGGCAAATGCATACAAAGGTCTCGTCGAGGGGGAAGATTTATAACTTTTGCCTCGTTATTTGTGCTTGGCATCCTCCCCATAGATTCAGCCTGTTGGACTCCTCTGAAATCACCTGGTGCAGAAACGCATCCAAATGCATGCCGAATGCTTTTTTTCTTTCCCATCCGTTTGTAGACGGGCTACGGCGCTCAATATATCATCACTGAGACCCTGCCCATCTGGATTTGAACTCAGGACTGCATTTCACAAGTTCACAGGTGTACCGAATGAGCCAGGCCCCTTGTGGTTTGTTTATTTGACGTTTGGCTCATCGCCGTCTTGCATTCACAGTTAGCTTTACCGGCGGGGTGAAGTCTCATCTACGATCCAGCGCCCGAGCTCAGTTGGTAAGGCACGCAAGTGGCATTCAGGAGGTCCTGGGTTCAATCCCCATTGGCCTCATGCACCTTCCTGGGCAAGCTTTCGAAAAAGAAAAAGACGTCTCACCTACGTGATCAATGGCAAGAGGCGAAGAATTACCGTAGGCGAGACCTCACCCCCGTACTCTAAGCGCCTCGCCACACCACTCTCGAAATGTGTAAAAAGACTAAACTGTGGCGGGTGCATCTGGCCAGGTTCTAAGGCCTGGGGAAGTTTGCACATTTCGAGAGTCATGTGGCGATGCCGTTATTCCTTTGGTACTTGTACGTTTTTCAACAACTCAGGGCATCGCCACACCACTCTCGAAATGTGCAAAATGAGAATGAACTTCCCGCTAGAACATGGCCAGATGCACCCGCCACATTTTTGTCTTTTTCCCGTTTCGAGAGAGCGGTGTGGCGAGGCCCTTATTTTGCGTGCACTCATCACCCGAGTCCAAACACATGTCTAAATCCCACCGTCCGATTCATTCTAGAAAGCAAATAGCCAGTCTTGGAGTCCCACCGTCCGATTCATTCTAGGACAAAAGTAAGTACAGGCGAATCAGCGGATCAGAATCAGCCACCCGCTCGGTGGTGGCGCTTGTCATTCTTATTGAGCATGCCAGTGTAGCGTGCTGTAGACTGAAGTACAGGCGATTGCTTGCTGGTTGTGGGTATCATTCAAAAAGAGAGGCCATGGCAGGGAAGCGGTGAATTATAATTTATAAGCGCGCCGAGCGCTTTGTAGAGCTTGCCAGGTGTAGAGGAGAAGAGAGGAACAGAGAGAAGAAGAAGGAGAGGACTGCGTGACGTCTCGTAGCGGGTGTTGCTACGGCGCCACGAGAGGAGTCGATCGTGTGGTGATCGCTGAGGTTTCTTTCTCTTGCAGCTTTTGTTTCGGAGACAGAGGAACACCCGGGAGGAAGCAAGACGAAAAGACGACGCCCGTCCAGGCCTGGAGGATGGCTATGGCGGTACGCGCAACAGCGGCGGGGCGGAGAATGGCGGCGTCGCTGCTCATCGCGGCTGCGCTTCTGGGAGCAATTGTATGTGCGCAAGATGTTCCGCCCGAAGCCCGGATCGAAGCCTTCAAGTACAACGGCGCGGGCTGTCCCCAGGGTACCGCTGTGGGAGAAATCAGCCTGGACGGACTGGTGCTTACGCTGAAGTTCAGCGAGTTCGGCGTCGCGACAGACCAGCAGCTCGTTGGTAAACGCAAGGCCTGCCAGATCAACATCAAGGTTAATATTCCGGCTGGCTGGAAGTACCGCTTGGACACGGTCAGACTCCGGGGCTACGCAGGACTCGATGCTACGGTAAAAGGCCTCCACAAGGTGTTATATTACTTCACGGGGGAGCCTGGAAACAGTTCGTACTCTATCCAGACGGAAGGGCCGAAGGACGACAACTACGAATATTCGGGTGCCTTCGACAAAGAGCTTTACAGCGATTGCGGCGCAAGCAGAAACCTCAATTTCAAGATCGAGGTTCGGGTCAACAATGACGCCGACCCTGCCGCTCAAGGAATGATCGACGTGGATACGGCGGACTCTCAAGTTATTTTCAAACCCTCGCAAGCGCTTTACTCGATCAAATTCGCGCCGTGTTAGAGAGCTTCACGTCACGCGAGCCGAACCGGCGCTTATCTCGAACAGAGGGGGAACAAAGCTGCTTGCCTTGTCTACGCAGGTGGCCACCTACAGACAGAAACGAGAAGAGAGCGCAMAAGTGAGARAGGAGACGCGATTCCCTTTTCAAGGTCGAATTCAAGCAGTGGTGGCCTTTCTTGCACAGGCGATAATCGCTCAGAGARGGRAACAAAGCTGCTTGCCTTGTGTGCGCAGCTGGCCACCTACGGATAAAAATCGAGGAGAGAGCGCAGAAGTGAGAGAGGTGATGAGATCTTGTGTGTGGTGGTCGATCTTTCTGATGAAGATAGGGAGAATCTCGGGTGTCCAGTGCACTGACCAACTGAGAAGAGGAGAGAGCTGAAAATTGAGTAAGATGAGAATCATGAGATCAAACTCTGTGAATAGGTCTGTCTGATAGAGCTAGGTGGCTGGAAAGTTTACGGTTCGTCATTTGCTCAGTTAGATAACGACGAAGAGTCGAAGACAGGTTTCTAGCCTGGGTTCGATGAGCCCTTTTTGAAGGCTTCAAGGCTAGTGACGCCTAGGGAATACCGGACAGAGCATCACGCTGAGCACTTGATTTCATCGGTCACCTTCTGATTGACGCGTAAGGTTCTAACAACGCCAATTCATGGGTTTTCTCTGTCTTTTCTTCGCGGATCCCATGGAGGATGCTTACCGAGAAAGAACGTGAGATTGACAGATAATGCTCGGTTTAGACTTACGCCCACATCTCTCTCTCTCTCTCTCTCTCTCTCTCTCTCTCTCTCTCTCTCTCTCTCTCTCTCTCTCTCTCTCTCTCTCNCCCCTTCCCTCCCTTCCTCCCTCCCTCCCTCTCCCTCTCCATCTCCCTACCTTCCTCCCTTCCTTGCGGGTGAGATCTCCGCTGCACGAACTAAGAGATATTGACCTTTTCTACGGGACGTAGGCGGGCACCGTCTGCTAATGTGTGCAAGCAATACCTCGCCCTGTGGGTGAGGGCCCAGTTGTAAATATGCTCTGCTCTGGAGTCTGGACCATAGGTTGCCGGGATAGGCCACCAGGAACAGCCCATTCGGCTAATTGGGTGGTTTACCTGGGGATGCAAGGCGTGTCAGTAAAGTATAGAGCTTCAATAGGCACTGTTAGGCAAGAAAAACTCGTGCAGGCAGGTCTCTCCAGGCGCGTCAACGTGCACCGGGGCGGGGAAAAGAGAAGGGGCGGGGGGGGAAGAGAGAGAGAGAGAGAGAGAGAGAGAGAGAGAGAGAGAGAGAGAGAGAGAGAGAGAGAGAGAGAGAGAGAAGCGGCATGGGGCGAGGATTAGATCTTGCACTGAAACTGGACGTTTTCATGCAGAGGTACCGAAAATTCTGCTTCTGCATCCCATTCCGTTCTATTCAGGGGAAGAAAGTAGGAAAGAGAATTTGATTCCATGCCTGAATCTGGTTGTGTTTGTCGAGGGAGGTTCTGCACCCTTCCACGAAAGCATCCGAATTCAGTAGGCCGATCTTATCCTTGCCCTCCCCTTCCCCCCCCTTCCTCTCTCTCTCTCTCTGTGTATATATATATGTATATATATCCTACCCCTTAAGCAGCATTGAGGGGGGGAGGTCTATGGTCCACTGCGCGCCGGATTTGGGGTCCAAGTTTTGAGGAGGGCAGGCGGATGAAGGCCCCGGGGGAGGGGACGCGTACAGAAATGTTCACAGTGCCCCATTAAAAGAGTGAGTGCGCCCACGAGGCCGGGCGGCGGTGTGAGTAGATTGCGCATGCCCACGGGGCCGGGCGGCAGCCGGCGTAGATGTGAGGGAGTATCTGGAAGCCGCTGCCTTCAATAAGCAGGAGGCCTTTTTTTCTTTTAGCATTTTTTCTTTTAGCCTATTTTTTTTTTAGCATTTTTTCTTTTAGCATTTTCGTTTTTGGCCTGTCGTTTCTGGCTTTTCTTTTTTGCCTTTCTTTTTGTTTCGTGGTAGGTGTGTTGTTCGTCTTTTTTTTCTTTTTTTTTTTCTGCTTTTTTTTCTTTTCTTTTCTTTTTGTTTCCCGTGGGTGTGTCCCCGTGGGCGTGTCGTTTTGTCCTTGAGTTTTCTCTTTTCTTTTTGTTCCCTGGTGGGCGTGTCTTTTCAGGCTTTTTTTTTTTCTTTTTTTTCGCTTGTTTTTCTTTTCTTTTCTTTTTGTTTCCCGTGGGCGTGTCGTTTTGTCCTTGAATTTTCTCTTTTCTTTTTGTTTCCTTGTGGGCGTGTCTTGTTTTGGTTGTGGGCGCGGGTGTATGCACGGCGGGGGCTACTTTAGTATATATATATACTCAAACAGACATATATATCTATATCTATATGTATTTGTGACCATACATGTATATATCTTTGTGTGCGAGTGTGTGACTCAGTGTAGTGTATATATATACTCAAACAGACATATATATCTATATCTATATGTATTTGTGACCATACATGTATATATCTTTGTGTGCGAGTGTGTGACTCAGTGTGACTGTGCTGTTGCGCCAAGTCGCGCCAGAAGCAGTACAGAAATATGGACAGATTCATAGGAAAACGGTCCCTGCTCTCTCTCTCTCTCTCTCTCTCTCTCTCTCTCTCTCTCTCTCTCCCCGAGAGCAAATCTGCCCACATTTCTGGACTACATTGTGGTCAGACTCTTCCTGCGGAGGAATAGGAGGGCAAGGTGTAGATGGAGAGAAGGGAGTACGCAGAGGACTTGTCAGGGCGCAAACTGGAGAGGGAGAGACAGGAGGACCAGGAGAAATCTGTCCTGCTGTGCCGGCAGGTCCCGTCCTTGGGGCCTCGCCACACCAGTGTCGAAACGGTGAAATATTCAACACCTGTCAGACCATTTTTGACATTCACGGTTTCAACACAATTACCACCTTCGCCACACCGTATGTCCAAGACTGAGGATAAGCGAAGTTTTGTGTTAGAAAAGGGGAAAATTTTAAAAAAACAAAAAAAAAGAAGAAGAAGACACAGGCTCTTGAGGCATAGATGTCCAAATCCACACATCCTTCAACACCTCGTCTCCGCTATGTCGAAACTCTACCCGCTGCAGGCGGGCAGTTAGACACCCATATTGAAACCACTTTTCTGAGGATTGTCAAAGAGTTCTCTACATTTTTTCTTCGACAGTCTGTGTGGCGAAGAAAAAATGTCCAAAACTCCAGTTTCGACATTGGTGTGGCAAGGCCCTCATTTTCAAGAGTTGGTGCATCGCTCCACAGCCTCTCGAAACTTGGGGCAGTCGAGGGCTGTCAGAGCACCTCTTGAAACCCTTTCAAGAGCAGCTCTCGAAAGATGGGAAACCCCAGCCTGCAACTCGTGCTTTTCCTGACGCCAATCGGAAAAAACAAAGCTGTACGACTGTCGTTTTTCGAGAGTGCTGCGTGGCGAGGGGCCGGGAACTCTTGAAAACCCAACTTTTGAGAACGTCTGACAGCTCTTGAAAAAATTCCCCATTTCAAGAGTGGTGTGGCGAGGCCCTTGGTCTGGACAGGGTCTGGGAAGGGGATAATTGGTAGAAAGAGCCCAGGCCAAAACCTTTTCATTTTTGGGCACCCAAAGTTCTGCCGTTTGGAACTACCGGCCCAAATGTCTTCAACCTGGGTGGCCACAACTCCCTTGGCTTGTCTTTACCGGTTCATGAATTCGGTGCTGTTTTCGCTCCAGATTCGTGAACCGGTGCAGCCCTTCTTTTTCAAAATACGGTACCTGGGCCTTATTCTATCCATCAGCGGTACCACCCTCGGCCTCTTCTACAAGAAAACGAATCTTGTACGCTTTATGCGCCAGATTCATGATCCGGTAGGGCCCTTGGAAGCACGCGTGGGCCTGTAGTACCCCAGATGGAAGACATTGGGCTGGTAGTACCAAACTTGAACTTTGCGCAGCCAAAACCGAGAAGGTTTTGGCGTGGGCGCCTTCTACCAATTATCCCTCTGGGAAGTGCCGGCCTGAGTTTTTATTGCCTTTTCGGGCCAGGTTTTGCCTTTCAAACAGAAAAACTGATGCGGCCGCAGTTGTTTCTTTTTTTTTGGCTGGCGCCACCAGCTTCACAGCCCCAGTAGGCCAATCAGTGCCCCACTTGCACACACTAGGAGAGACTTGACGTCTATATCCAATTATCTCTGCGAGTGTGGCCTCGACCCGTCTGGCCAGCTTCCCGTCAGATCATTCAACAACATCTTACGGATGGCCGACCTACTGCATGGATGGCTCTGTTCAAAAGCCGCGCCCTTTTTTTGGTTTTCGGCCCTCCGAAACTGCTCACCGCCTATATATGGGAAAGGTACTGGTGGTTTAATTGTTAGTATCCTCACCCTCTTCTTTTTGCAATCATACTTCTATCGCTGCGAGAGGTCCCACTTACTGTCATCCTTCATTTCTGGCAGTCTCAAACACTCAATCAACGGCCACAAGCGAACAGAAGGCAAGGATCATGGTGATTGTGACCTCGCCCATGAGCTCATGTCGTGTTGTTGTTCTCCTTTTTTCCTCACAACTTGTTTTGCCTGCTGCAGTCATCACCGGCGAGCATGTATAAACAGCACCGTTGGATTTCCTCTTGGATGCCAGAAGCAGCTCTTGCAGTCCCGTTGTGAGAGCAGTTGACTAAGTGCAATAAGACTCGGATCATTCACACTTGTCTTGCATGCAAACAGCGATACAGCAAACTGACGACATGCACCCACGCAGTACTCAAGATAATGTAACCGGATACGAGTTCTCTTCAACTGGCTATGGCGGCTCTGCGCCCACACATCTCACTGTTCGCATGCTGGATCACCCTGGATGTCCCACACGCAACACTCAGTGTTTATACGCAGCACACACACACACTGTACTACAGCTATGGCAGCGCTAGCTGCCACTACCCTATCGCTATACTACACTTCACTTCCCACTTCGACTTCGGGCGTACTGCAGACTTTCTCGCACAAGCTGCTGAGGCAGCGCTTCCGCATGGCATCCGCAGGAATGAATGAATGGCTGGACGCAGCCACTTGATTTATACTTCTGTGCGGCGTTGGTCTGCCCTGTATCCCTTGGCCCACGATGTGCACAGTCCCAGACGGTACTTGCTTGACTGGACCAGAC